AGTTAAATCTCTTTTTTTGGCTTATTTAATCTGTAAAAGAAAACATGCCTAATAATTATCAATTATTATCCACCTGAATATAAGGTGTTTTCATTTCCAGCCTTCATAAACAATTATATCACTTGTATATGATTAAATACAAAATGAATAGTAGTTATCAAGATTAATGTGGTTTGGAATTGGTAAAATGTGTCTGGGAAAAAAAATATGATCAGAAAATCAACGTGTCTAATAATTCTGCACACACTGTATGGTCACATGTGGTTTGGCACTGCAGGACGATTAGCTGTCTCCCTGTAGCAGTGTTAAGCGTCTTAAATTACAGATGATGGCTTTCCTATTGAAGACAAAAGTAGAAACACAATTATTTAACTTAATCTGGTTAATGCACAATATTTAAAAAACAATGCTATTGTGTAATACATCAGTAAATGTTGGAATTAACATTAGCCAAGCTTAATAGGCTAAGTGATGAATTTTTTTTTACCTTTACCATTTGTAAACTACTGCAGTTAGCTGTTACACACCATTCTGCAGTTGTCAACTGACTAGACAGCTTGACAACAAATGTTAACTCCTAACTTAATTAATTACAGCCCACAGAACATTTAGGGAAAAAAGGAAATAAAAACTTGGCCTTTTTTCAATACACGCGCGTCAAATTGCTAGGTGCATAATATGTAAACAATTACGGTCGGACCCACAGTGCTATCTTAAATTATGCTGCATCACACTTAAAACAGTTAAAGTAGAGAAATACAAATAATCCAATGAAAAAATAAGTATTTTACTTACCAGAATCGAAATGTGTACACTGTATATTGCTAGTTGCTTAGTATCCATTCTTCTCGCTTCACTGCTGCAATCCAGGCGCAGCAAATTTCGAAAATATAAACGCTTTGATTACCGAGAGCAAGTTATTTCCGGGCCTGAGAGAACATCCAACCACTGAACAACATGCTCCTAATTTTAATTTTGACATGTTTTATTCGCATGAATAAGAAAATTATCGCACAATTGCGGTAAATAGACAGTAAATAAAGCGCTTCCCGCCGTTGTTTCGAATGTGCGCTCTAACTAACCGGAAACGTCTGAGGGCCAAACACGTCACTTCCGTACATCTACAAATAGCCGTTGAAATGGTCTATAAAGGCCCGTTCACACCAAGGATGATAACTGTGATGATAACGATAAAGATATAGTTCTATTAATCATTCTAAATATAAAAGAATAGCAGAGTCGACACCACAACCATAATGATAACGGCGCCGAGAAATGATAATGTTGGAATCACTTTCACAACGATTTTTCCAGCTGATGAACGATAAAAACATTGACAGCCAATCAGAATCCATCCTGCTTTAAAGATGGATTGTGTGGACTCTAGTTATAGTTATCATGGTGTACACAGGCCTTGATTCTGTTTAACATGAACCTGAACCTGTCAATCACAGGGAGGAAAGATTCCAATCCGCTGGACGGCTCCAGAAGCCATCATGTACAGGAAGTTCACCTCGGCCAGTGACGTGTGGAGTTACGGCATCGTCATGTGGGAAGTGATGTCATATGGTGAACGACCATATTGGGACATGAGCAACCAGGATGTAAGTGGCACTGTACCACAAATCTAATTAATTACGAGAGCTTGTCATGCCTTCTGCGCTGGCGTTCCCATGGTACGCTTAGAAGAGTATTAATACTTTGCTTTATCGTGCTATTGTGTGCCATGCCAAGTTATACAAACCAACTGAATGCGGTAGTTCAGAAAGATCAGCCACTCATTTCCTCTCTCCTGTTTCCTAGGTGATAAAGGCAATAGAGGAAGGGTACCGGTTGCCGCCGCCCATGGAGTGCCCGCTGGCTCTGCATCAGCTCATGCTGGAGTGCTGGATGAGGGAACGTGCAGACAGACCCAAATTCAGCCAGATAGTCAACATGCTGGACAAACTCATACGCAATCCCGCCACACTCAAGAGGACGGCAGGAGACGCCAGCAGGTGCACATACACACTTTTATTCTTGTTGGGACTTTATTCACATATTTTTTTGCTGTTTTGGGTGTATTTTGGTGCAAATCCTAAAATATGTGTTTGGCTTTTGTAGATACTTATTAAAACAAAAATTCCTTATGAACTTTTATTAGGTTTATCTATTCTTCTGGGGACATAAGGTTCATCTTGACAGGAAGCTACTTATAATTGCTGTACACTAGATAGATAGAATGCTCAATTTCATGTGGCATTGAGTCCCATAATATTTCAGAATGCATTTTAGTTTACTTCTAGATAAATCCTGTCATGAGCAACAGTTTAAAGAAAACCCGGTTAGCAATATGTACAATGGGACCATGTTCTTGCAATACATGCATACTGTATAGCATACAAATGTTTGGAAATTAATACTTTTATTCAGCAAGGATGCATTAAATAACATTAAAGACATTTATGTAAAAAAATACTTCTATTTCAAATAAATGCAGTTTTTTTTTTACTTACTATTCATCAAAGAATCCTGCAAAATGTATCACAGTTTCCACAAGAAATATTAAGCAGCAAAACTGTTTTCAACATTGATTTCTTGAGCAGCAAATCAGCATATTAGAATGATTTCTGAAGGATCATGTGACACTGAAGACTGGAGGAATGATGCTGAAAATCAGATTTGCATCACCGGAATAAATTACAGTTTGAAATATATTCAAATTACTTTAGATTTGTAATAATATTTCACAATTTTTTTATTACAAACAATGCAGCCTTGGTGAGCATAGAAACATTAAAAAAATATTACTGACCACAGAGTTATAAACAGTATTGTATGTTTCTAGCTTAACCTTAAAATATGCTTTTTAGCATTTGCATATAAAAATTATGATTTTATTGAGTTCCTTTGTAAAGTTTCCATTATAAAGACCCTGTTTTTCGAAGGGGCATTTTTAGAGAAGTAATCTCTATTTTAAGTGTAGCAAAACAAGCAAAGTCATGCAAACACTCATAACGCCACACACACATATATACATATAAACGCTCATAAATTCTGGCAAGTTCATTTTCTCTGGAATAAAAGGTTTTATGTAATGTTGTTGCTGTCAGGCCCCACCCATCCATGCTTCACCACGCCCCCTCTGAAGGCTCCGCCCCCTCTTTGGGTTCTGTGGACGAATGGCTGAAAATCATTGGACTTGAGCAATACAGAGAAAACTTCAACACAGCAGGATACTGCAGCTTAGAGAGCGTCATGCCCATGAGTCATGAGTGAGCATCCCAACACATTACACACCTAAATACACATCCTGATGAGCTTGAAGATGACTACAGCTTACCACATATCCCCTGTGCTGCTCTTTTACAGGGATCTGGCCAAAATGGGAATCTCATGCAGTGCACATCAGAGGAAGATCCTGAGCAGCGTGCAGGATTTATTGTCTGGAATGCATCGAAGACAAGACACAAAGATTCCTGTCTGATCTGTGACGAAGGGAAAAAAAAACAATGCGTCATGTTGGTTAGCATGAATTACAAGAGAGACGGAATATTTCACATCACTCTTGCACTTTAATGGAATATGAATGGTATGAAGATCAGAATGAATGAGCTAAACTGCACTTTTCTGGACCGCTTTGTGCTTTTACGAGGATTTTTTTTTTTCCATTTTCTTCCCTGATTGTCTTCATGATGTCTAAGGATTTTTAAACTGGCCTTTTGCCGACAATTAAAATGACTTCATGTGTCTCTCCGGATGAGATGTTTCTGACCCTCTTGATCCAGGCAGCGAGGCAGTATTTTTTTGACAGAAGAAAGTTTGGGAAGTGTCCTCCTTGTGTAAGTGGAAAGAACCATTTAAACTAAATGCAAACAGACTACCACGCCTTTCTCCTCAGGATCTTTTCAGTATGGCCGATCGTCATCATCAGCAGGAAGGAATTGTTCCCTGTGGATCAAATTTGAACGTTATATTCAAAAGGATCTTTTGCCTCGGGAGATTTTGAGCCATTGTAAACTAATCTAACAGACCTTTTGGATGGTATGTGTTTGTTTTATGAAGGCCAGATGGAGCTTTTAGAGGCATTGCTGAATGGAAAATTATATCGCTTTATTTGTTGATTTTTTTTTTTTTTTTTTTTTTTATAAAGGGAATGAGAAGATAGATCCAGATAAGATTTAGTCTTGAGTTACTCATGTGCTGTGTATTCAATCTTTGCATTTTTTTAAGTAGCAAAGTAAATGACTTAATCTGACGGCTCTTCCTGGTTTCTTTTTGTCAATACTTCAGTCTTTTTATTTTCCCCTCTTTTCAGTTTAATTTAATTTACTTCCATGTCTCTACCTTTTGAGTACCATTGAATCTACAACCAGAGGTCATGCGCAAATAATTAAATCTGTGTATGTAATTTGATAAAATGTTCGAAACTGCTGAATTGAATCATTGCAAGAATTTCAGTCACAGATCTATTTTTAAAACTTTTTTCACTGTACATAATCTAGGATTTTGTTTGTACATATGATAGTTTTTAATTGTTTTCTTCATGATGTATATAATACCAGCAGTCATTTTCATGTAGGACTACAGCTTCTGAGTTCTGTCATTTTCTTCTTTTTTTCCCCTTGACATGTGCAAAAAGATGTTAACGTAATGTATTTAATTTTCACAGTGAGCATAATATTCATGTTGCAGTAAATTTAACATTGTAAAACAGCAGTACATTTAAGAATGGTTTGGTAACAGTTTGAGGAATCTTAATTTCACAGTTTCTGTATTTCCACCTTTAGGTGCACCTAACTTATGAGCTTTATTTATGATCTTTTTGTATCTAGTTCTTAAAATAAAATGTCAAAGAAATTGTTTGTAGTTAACACTCTATAAGCATCCAGAAAATATTGTACAACATCCATATATAGTAAGTATGACATCCTTTTACATGAGTTAATGATGGTAACTGTATTTTATGAGTTATCCCGCTCTTTTTTTTAAGGGTTATCTTAAACATTAGTGTTTTTCTGTTTTTATGATGACTTTTCCAGTATCATGGAGATCACATTCAAGTCTGACTCTTCCAGATCATTCTCAAGCAGATCGATCTCTTTCAGGTGGGATGGATTTGATTTCAGAGCTTCGGTCAGTGCCGTCGCACTTTTGTGTGTAACATTACAGTTGGACAACCTGAAGAAAGCAGAGTGGATTTTCAGACAGCGGAAAAGTTAACCAATAATGGTATAAATGCTTTAGTTTTTGTGGAAATCTGAGTAGGTTTTGTTTCTTTTACCTCAGCTTCTCTAGTTTACAGTGAGGATTCTCCAGTCCGACACAGAGCTTCTTCACACCTGAGTCTCCTAGATCATTAATACTCAGATCCAGGTCTGTCAGATTGGAGGTCTTTGAGCTGAGAGCTGAAGCCAGAGCAGTGCAACTTTTCTCTGTAATTCCACATTTGTCCAACCTGAGAAAGAAATTAATTGTAACATATGCTTCGTTTTCCAACTTTATCAAAAACAATGCACTTATTTATATATCTTAACCTCAGTGTTTTCAGTCTACAGTTTGTATTGTGGAGAACAGCAGACAGCAGCTCAACTCCCTGATCTCCAGGTCTGTTGTTTCCCAGGTCCAGCTCTCTCAGCTGAGCGTTTGACTGCAGAGCTGAAGCCAGCGATTCAAAGCCTTCTGCGTTGATTTTGCTGGTTGAAAGTCTAAGTCAAAAAGTTCTTAATTATACAAATTATAGTACACAATATTACTTTAAATGACCATTAACTTTGAATGTGTAAATGACAGAATTACTAACTTTCTTGGGAGTGAATGATTGCTTTAAATTACAACCTCAAAACATCATAAAAGTTGACCACGTTGATAACATTTTACTGAAATGTAGTTTTAAACATAAGGGTGAGAGTGTGCTGTTGCTCTATAATACCAATCCGAAACCGCGGCCACATTTTGAACGCGTTGCGATTGGTCAAGTGACACACGTCGATTGTACAGAAGCGCATTTCCTAGTAGTCCTTTAGATAAAGTTATCGTACAGCTTTAGAAGGCTTGAAATATTACCTACCAGTCATATGGGGTGCTTTTTTTTTTGTGTGACATTTTAAATAACTGCCAACTGTCATTGTATGGAAACGCTGCCTAATAAAACCTCCTTTGGATTTAAACAAAAAAAGAAATCTGCATTTTAACAATGGTGAGTAAATAATTTAAATTTGTAGGTGAATTAATACTCTAAAGTTCATGAATTCAAAAGTCACTACATTTACTTTTAGACTAATAATAATAATACATTTTATTTGTATTGCACTTTACACGTGAAGAACACATCTCAAAGTGCTACAGGTGTACAGATAAAAACAATAAAAACATAAAAGGCAGTCAAGTGGAACAAGAAATTAAAATATATTAAGAAAATGCAATTAAAAATAAATGTGTCTTTAATTTGTAACTAATTTGACTAACATCATCAAGGCCTTAGATCTTCTCTCCATTGACAGTTTGTACTGCATAACACTTTTTAAATGAATCAGTGATTCTGATAAAGGTCAAAACTTATTTACATAAGTTATAACCGTAATTAAGTTTGTTGTTACTTACTTTAGTATTTCCAATGCACACTGAACTTTCTCCAGAGCAGCACAGAGCTGTTTAACTCCTGAGTCTCCTATGTTATTCCAGCTCAGGTCCAGCACTTTCAGATGAGAAGGGTTTAAACTCAGAGCTGAGCTCAGGAAAACACAGCCCGCTTCTGTTACTCCACAGTTCTTCAGGCTACAGAGAGAAGAGAAAAAAAATCTTATTTAAGTCTTCATTATCATTCTTATTAAGAAGGTAGACTATCATTTAAAGTATGCAAATACTATCTATGCATTTGTAAACTTGAATATACAATATCTGGAACTTAGAGAGTAAACCTACTTGAGTGATTCCAGCCTACACTTTGTGTCCTGTAGTCCAGCAGTAGGAAGGACGCCACAATTAAGATTGGGATCATCAGAAACCAGACTCCTCCTGAAAATAGATTTGATTAAAACCTTTAAATGTAAGCGGGGCTTATATAGACATATTGTTTTTGTGTTTTGGTTCACTGAAAACTCATACACAAATTGTTTTAAGTCGTAGTGTGATCTTTTCAATCCAATACAGAGTATTTCCACTCCAGAGTCCTGCAGGTTGTTGTGGCTCAAGTCCAGCTCTCTGAGATTAGATATTGATGGAAGAACAGCAGAAAGCACCGCACAGCCTTTTTCTGTGATATTACAGTCATGCATCCTGCCAGAACAAATACATTAATAGTATCAGCTGTTTAGACTAAGGTAGATGCTATTTGCTGTGTATATAATGGTAGATACTGTTGAATAAATAGAATAAAATTGCATCTTTAAAATAGTGATTTACACAGTGTAAATAGAAGTAATGTGCTATTTGTTCTAAAGGTAAAATATATCTTTTTTTCATATCATTGATTTCATGTAAGCAAGCAACTACATGTTCTCACCAGATCTTTTTCGACAACTTGATCACAGGAAGCAACCAGAACACAGCTGTGTCCGATCTTCCGTATTTACGAAGTTCAAACTCATTGAACTTCTCATTTGATGTCAGTAAGATGTACACCAGAGCTGACCAGAGATGTGGGGACAGAGTGTCGCTGTTTATTTCTCCAGAGGTCAGGTAGCTTTGGATTTCAATAATAAGGGAATGATCATTGAGTTCATTCAGACAGTGGAAAAAAACAAGAGTCATTTCTGAGCAAACAATTGTTTTTATTGTTTGCTTGAGATACTCAATAGTTTTCTCTCTTTCCATGGAGCTTTCTGTCTTCTTCACCAAAAGCCCTTTTAGGAGCTTGTGATTTGACTCCAGTGAAAGTCCCATGAGGAAGCGAAGGAAAAGATCGAGATGACCATTCATAATTTCTAAAGATTGATCAACTGCACACTTGTGTAAGCTGAACATTGTCACGGGTGTTCCAGATTCAGGTGCCTCAAGCACGTTTTTGCCGTTGTTGTGGAAGGAGAGGTGCACAAATAGAGCCGCTAGATGTTCCTGAACGCTCAGATGAACAAAGCAGAAGACTTTCCCCTGATACCAGCCAAACTCCTCTCTGAAGATCTGAGTGCACAATCCTGAGTACACTGATGCTTCTGTCACATCAATGCCACACTCTCTTAGGTCTTCCTCATAGAAGATCACATTGCCTCTTTCCAGTTGATTGTATGCCAGTTTCCCTAATTTAAAAATCATCTCTTTGTCTGTGTCCTTCTCATTGTACTTTTTGTCTTTGATGCTAATCTGTGCCATCAGGAAGTGTGTGTACATCTGAGTGAGAGTCTTGGGAATCTCTCCACTCTCTGCTTCGCTCAACATCTTCTCCAGAACAGCGGCTGAGATCCAGCAGAACACTGGGATGTGGCACATGATGTAGAGGCTCCTTGAGGACTTCAGGTGTGTGATGATTGTATTGGCCAGACTCTGATCACCGATTCTCTTCCTGAAGTATTCCTCCTTCTGTGGATCATTGAAGCCTCGTACCTCTGTCACTCGATGGACACACTCAGAGGGGACGAGATCGGCTGCTGCTGGTCTGGAGGTGATCCAGATGAGAGCAGAGGGAAGCAGATTCCCCACAATGAGGTTCGTCAGCAGCGCGTCCACTGAGGCTGATTCACTTACATCACACAACCTCACATCGCTCTGAAAATCCAGAGACAGACGACACTCGTCCAGACCATCAAAGATGAACAACACTTTATATTTGTCACTGGATATTTCAATTTCTTTTGTTTCAGGGAAAAAGACATGAAGAAGATCTGAAAGACTGAGTGTTTTGTCCTTCATCAGATTGATCTCTCTGAAAGGAAGTGTAAATATGAGCTGGACGTCCTGATTCTCTTTCTCTTCAGCCCAGTCCAGGATGAACTTCTGCACAGAGACTGTTTTTCCAATGCCAGCGACTCCCTTTGTCAGCACAGTTCTGATGGGTTTGTCTTGTCCAGGTAAAGGTCTAAAGATGTCATTGCATTTGATTGGTATTGTTGCTCCTTCAGCAGCCTTCAATGATTTCTCTATTCTTTTAATTTCATGTTCATTACTGATCTCTCCATTTCCACCCTCTGTGATGTAAAGCTCTGTGTAGATCTCATTCAGGAGTGTTGGGTTTCCCTGCTTTGCAAATCCTTCTAAAATGTAGAGATGCTTCTTTTTTATGTGCGATTTCAACCTTTGAATCTTGACTTCACGTGTTTCTGAATCATGTCTGTTGAACAAATGTTTGTTAGTAGCAACAACTATGCACAAATTCAGACACTATAAATGAGTTCTGATACATTTAACCAAGGGCGCAGATGGCACTGGGGACGGGGGGACATGACCCCCCCAGATTTATAGTGACCCGATCCATCCCCCCCTTACTATCCCTACAAAAGGTGACAAAAATCGGTAAAACAGAGGATTAACCAATGTTTTCGCTATATATACATTAGCCAAAGTACAGTGTCCCGGCCCGCCGCTGCTTCAGAATCGGGTCGGGGCAGACGCAGGCTGATCTACACCGGTCACCATTACTTTGCACCCACGTTCTCACTACACGCTGTTCTGTTGTCAATAAACACACGATGCCTTCATGCCACCGACGTTTACACTCTCTCTCTCTGTGTGTGAGTGTGCCACGACTCCTCCTGAGTGACGTCGCCAGGGTCCTATGAGGAGCTAGTAGCTGCCTTAATCGTGCCTGTAGGAGCGGACCGGTAACCATAGTGATCATATACCATTTATGACTGAGCTGAGTCTGTGATTTTCTGAACTGAACAAAATCGACTGTATAAATGCCACATAAAGGCAATGAAGAGACAAAAAACAAAAACAATCACCTCGTTTTTTCAAAAAACAAACAATGTAAGTATCCTATGCCTGTTGACTTTCCCAGATGTGGCAGATTAGATTTGTTAAGGGGAATAGCTAGTCTGACAATAAGGCTTTTGCACTTAGTAAACAGCAAAATGTGGAGACCATAACTATGCATTTAGGTGAGTGGACAGAGACAAATAATGAATGAACACAAAAAGAATGGTTGGATAAATCAAACAATTTATCGTCGTCAGGAAATAATGTTTTATCTTATCATTTAACCCATTGTACTGTATAAATTGATGAGGTATGTTCACTGTCGTGTAAACCACTATAAGTAAATTTGTGAAGTGCAAGGTTTATGCAAACAACAAATAAAGGCCTACATAAACTTTTGACATCCTCTTATAGCAGGAAATCATGTTTTTTTTTTTTTTTGTACGGAGCAACGGAGGATACAGATTCTTAAATTATGGGCTATGAAAAACATTTCTTAATATGTCATACATCATTTGAAAGATATTTATAATCTATAAATTGCAACAAAATTGTAATTAACACTTAAATTTAAATTTTTTAGTTATTCTTAGACATTTTTGGAATAGTAGTTTTAGCCATTAATTCTCAGGAATATGTTGTATTTCACATTGATATTCACATTCTATAGAGGTATAGAGGGTTAACTGAAATGATAAGATTTAAACTGTTGTCCTCCTGGCCTGCAGGCGATTTCTGATGACAGTAAGGCAGGCCCTAGTCAGTCAAGTGAGGATCTGCAGGAGGGCAGCCACAGTAGAAAATATGTTGTTGTTATTTTATTTTTATTTTTTGCACATAGGTTCTTTGCTTTTTT